AATATTAATTTCTTGATTCTTTCCAGAAAATCATGTTTATGATAGCATATATGTATCTATAAACACACATAACGTATTACATATATTACATGAATACATATTCCATTCAAATATAAGGTGTGATCAAATACAGTGAATGTTTACATAAAAAAAAAATTATTACAGTGAAAGACACATTGCCATTAATCCCCCTCAAAATAATCCCTGTTGCTTTGAGCACACTTATCCCATCGTTCTTGCCACTTTCTGAAGCAGTTCTGGAAGTCCTCTTTCATGAGTGTCTTTAGTTGCACTGTCATGGCTGCTAAAATGTCCTGAATCATTTTGACTTTGAGGAAGAGCTAGACGTCAGATGGTGCCAGATCCGGTGAATAAGGTGGATGAGGACACATCGTAATGTTTTTATTTGACAGAAATTGCCGTATACCATTGTGACACGGAGCGTTGTCATGATGGAGGATGATTTACGGCACAATTTAAAACACACCTTCTCTCAACCGTAACTCACACCCAATTGACTACATTGAACATGTTGAAACTTGTCACACACTGTTACTAAGGTTCCATGTACCACTTTCCATATTGAAGATCCCTGCCTTTCCGCTGGATGGACTTAGCAGCAGCATTCACTCTATTTTTTTTATCACAATGGAAAGGCTCCATGTCACACATTGCTTCTGGTATAAGCAATTTCTGTCAAATAAAAACATTACAGTGTGTCTTCATCCACCTTATTCACTGGCTCTGCCATCATGCAACTTCTGGCTCTTCCCCAAAGTCAAAATGACCATGAAAGGTAAATTTTTTTAATTGATTCAGGACATCAAGGCAGCCACGACAGGGCAACTAAAGACACTCACAAAAGAAGACTTCTAGAACTACTTCAGAAAGTGGCAAAGAATGATGGAATAAGTGTGCTCAAAGTGAGGGGGAGTAGAGGGGGATTAACGGCCATGTATCTTTAACTGTAATAAATTTTTTTATTTAAAGTCACTGTATTTTTTTATCATATCTCATATATTAACTAAAAGGACAGTGACTGTTGAGTATGTTGAGATGTGTCAGTATAGAAAAGTGAAAGACAATTAGTTGAAAACAGAAAAAGATGTATAGGAATGATTCTATAGGACAAATGAAGAGACAAAGAGGGAATCATGAATATAAAAACTTACAAGACTCTACAATAAAAAATAACCAACAAAAAATGAAAAAAAAAAAGAAACTGAAAAGGATTCTGAAGGTATTGCTATGGCAGTGTCTCTCAAATTTTGTGTATGAATTGCCTGGCACTCCTCTTAAAATGAGTTTCTGATTCAGTAAGCCTGCAGGGGGTGGCAATGATTCTGTATTTCTGACAAACTCCCAAATGACGCTGATGCTCCTGGTCTTTGGATTACACCTTGAGTACCAATGGTCTAGACTACGGGAGCACTGTCCAATAGAAATATGGGATCCACATATGTAATTTAAAACTGTTCAGGTAGCCACAGTAAAGCAAAACTGAAACAAAAAAAAAGGAATTAGTTTTAACATATTTAACCTCACACATTCAATATATTATCATTTCAATATACGAGTATAGTTAATATAAAAATTAATGAGGGAGCTCCCATTCTTAGGTTTTCCATTAAATCATTGAGTCTACCGTGTATTTTACTGTTAGAGCACACTTCATTTTGTAGTACTCACATTTCAACTTAATAGCACATATTAGTGCAGGTCAATAGCACATCAAAATCACCAGTTTTTTAAAAACACCTATAACAATTCCCCATCTCTGACCAATTAAAACAATCTTTGGAATAGAAGGAGGCACTGGGAGTTTAAAAAGCTCTCCAATAGATCTTAAGCATTCTTACAACACACACACACACACACACACACACACACACACACACACACACACACACACAGAGTTAACTGTGAGGTGATGGATGAGTTAGCTTGATTGTGGCAATCAATTCACAATGTATAGGTATATTAAAACATCATATTGTATACCATAAATATATACAATTTTTGTTAATTATACCTCAATGAAATTAAAAACCTCTCTAGGTGATTCTCATTTGCAGCCAGTATTAAGAATCACCCTGCTAGAAAATCAGTGTTAAAAGTTTACTTGCTCAAATGTGTACAGAGAGGCAAGATGGAGTGCAGCGCGATAACTGCTAAGATATTTCCCTGCAGAGATCATTAAGGAAAGGCCTCATCTGCCACAAAAGACTAACAACATCGACAAAGCTAGTCTCTTTCTAGAAAAATATGCCCAGTAGAATGTTATGTCAAATGGAAGAATATGCCTGAGAGGACCAACTCACATTCCTGTTTGTTGGAAACATAGCAAAGGAATACAAACTAAGTCAACTTAGACTGAAGAAATGGATTGCTCTCTTTCGAGAACCAAACTTTCCTATAAAAAAAATGTCTTTACACACCTCCCTATATCTTGATTAGAAAGAATTAAGACTGAATTAGGAATATACATTAGAAACTTCCATTACCAGACTGAGCAATTAAGACACACTGCCTCCTTCTACATGTATTGAGCGCTTAAAATCTCCCAAAGCGTCTCCATACACCTAGGAGGTAAGTTTTGTCTCCCTACTCTTCCTCTCCCCCTATTCCAACTCTATCTGAACCCTACTTATATATTTTCATATCCACTTTGGCCAGTCTTATCTGTCACCTCCAATACCAACCCCCAAACTACTTTCCCAACCCACCCTCTCCAACACAAGTGTACACACAAACACACACAGCACCCATCATTCTGAAATTTCTCTAAATTCTAGATCAGCACTGTCCAATAAAAATATAATGAGTCACACATATAATTTTAAATCCTCTAGTAGCCCATGGTCCCAACTCTCATGGTCTTTGTTCTTTTGTCTGGCCAATGACTGCTCATCCTCAGCACTAGGTTTCAATGTCCATTCTAGGCTGCCTTCACTGTTCCCATTCACCTAAATCTAATGTCTCCACTATATGCTTCCACTATCAGGCTGTATTATAATCACTTATTTTATATTAGGAGCAATAAGGGATCAAAAATGAATATACTACTCCTACTATCAAGTAAATTATAATTTAGTAAAACCTGGAAAATATATATGCATGAAAAGTTTACATGAAATATTAGAAAAGACTATAAAGTGAAAGTTATGAATACAGACTAAGTTTGTATGTTAATCCTACCACTTACTAGTTCTGTGATGTTAAGCAAATTACTTAACCATTAAACTTATTTCCTCATCTATTAAGTGGGAAAAATAATAGATTAATACTCATGATGTTTTGAGGATTAAATAAGATCCAATTAAGCTTACAATGCCTAAGATATAGTAAGCCCTCAACAAAGATCAGCTATTATCCATTTCCTAGCAGTGTCTGGACCCAGTAAGTGAATATTCCTCACTAGATGAGTAATGTGAATAATGAAAAGTGCAACAAGAGAAGTTGCACTAACAAAATACCCTGGGTGTTCAGGAGAAATCTTTGATGGGATCAAGGAAGGTTGTTAGAAGAAATTATTAGCATTTGATTTGGATCTTATAAAACAAATAGATTAATAAGGATCAGAATAAAGGGGAGAAACTAAGTTGGAGCCAAATGGCAGCAAATTAATATTGGTTAGTTAAGACCCTATACTTTGCCTAGAAACTTACTGCAGGAGACAAATATGTCTGTGAAAGTTCACATATTTTTGAAATTCAAGCAGGTTACCTTTTAAATGGAGGCAATGTTACTGTAATAATATGCAAACTATAATATATAAAATATAAGCTTATAATAAAATAATAAGCAATGATTGCAGTTGTCGAGAGAATCCTAATTTATGTAGCTATCCATCATCAGGTTTTGCTGCTCTTAGAATCTGAGATCAATTTAGTAATTGGATGATAGTAAATTTATTGGTACATGGCAGGAATAACAGTGCTTTTAAAACTATGCCTGAGTCAACATATTTTTTAAACTTTTGGCAGCAACTGTTATTTGCATGACCTATTTTTTCCCCAAAATTTGTAACTCCATACCTCTATCTTACAAAAGTGGTATCCCTTTGTCCCTCACTGTTCTATGCTAAAATGATGAACTACTTTATTGACAAAATGCACTTTAACACATATTTTTAACCTCACTGAAACTGACATAACAATGTATCTTCGATTTCCAGTCAGCCATGGTTTAATTGGGTAAAAATCTTTGACATCTTTTTAATATAAAAAGTACTAAAATCAATGCACCTTGACTTGAAATTTGGTAGCTATGCTTGCAGGAACAGAAGCTATGTTTGCAGAAAAATTCTTTTTCTGTCCTCTCCTTTACATTTTGGTACTCATATCACAGAGCTTGGGTTTTATGACATCCATTACCCAATAATTTACTGAAATATTTATTGAGATCATACTAAGTGCCAGGCACATATTCTTAGTGCTTGGGAAATAACACCTCATAAAATGTGAAAAGATGTCATTTTAGATGTCATTTAAATACGATCCCTCTTATACTGGTTGTCTTCGCTATCTTTACAGAAAGGAGTTCAGTAGCTACAACCTCTAAAAATTCATAGATCTTCCATGCCCAGTCACAGAGAACAGCCATTTTCCTGAAATCCAATCTCACAATCACCTTTACTTGTAGGAAATAGGTATGATAAGTAGTTCACTTACATAATCTTTGTTAAGATGATAGACCACCCATAGCATATTATAATTGAGCAATTTTTTTCAAGGACTAACATTTGAAAATGAAGTTCCTAAATACTGCATGGTAAGACAGAAAGAATTAAGAGGTCTTTAGAAAATCAGGCAGTAAATTCTGGGTCCAAAAAAATTTGGGGTAAATTCAAGAAGAAAAGCATCATAAAATATGCAAGCTTCTCCCACCCCAACCCTCTTTAAAGGGTGCCCCACGCCCCCAAGTGTAGGAAATTCACTTCCCTGCCAAATAAGACACTCTTCTTAAAAACTTGCGATAGACAAATAACTAAAGTTTACCTAAGACCGCCCGTTATCAGATCAATAAAGTACCCCTCATTCCCCTTGCCTCTTCCTTTGGGACCACTCTGTCACAGCCCTTGGAAAGAATCGAGGAAGACTGAATTCCCGGGAGGCCTTCCAGGAGCATGGGGCGCGCACAAGGCTTGGTCACAACGCAGCGGCTACACCTGGTGAGAGATGGGGCAACCTGGAAGGAGATTCCTCTATCTGGATATTAGGGTCCCGACCGAGTGCCTGGAAACTTCCGCAGCCTTGTTTCAGCGGCCTGGGCCCTCCCCACCCTCCCGGGTCAGGCGGTAGCCGCGAATGGTACTTCTCTCCCAAACGTCGTGGTCCCACTACGCCGCAGGGCCAGGGCCAGAGGCAGCAGCGAGGGACCAGCCACCTGCCGCGGACTCCGTCAGGACCCTCCGCGCCGCGAGGGCACCCACCGTCCGCGGAGCCGCCACCTACTTGGCCGCCACCTCTGGGATCGAATCACACACCTGCGACCCCGAGGCACCTCCACCCCGTCTCCTAAGGCCGGGGGGTGGGATAGGAAAAAAGATGCTTCATTGATTCCCCGCCCATCTACTTCGCCTGCCCCCTACTGCCACCCATTGGCTGGCATGGCTGCCGCTAGTTCGATGCGGCTAGTCCATTGGGCAAAAGGGTATTGCCATTCTGGCTGACGTCCCGCCCCAGGTCTGGCCTCACAATGGGAGTCGGATCCCAAATCGGTTCCGGGTTAGTGCCCTGGAATTCCGCCCCTTTGTGATTCGCGGCCTCCCGCTCTACTCTGTCTTTGGCGCCCAGCTCTGTCAGTCAAGTGGGCTCTAGGAAAGGATTGGCCTCTAGCGATCAGCCTGCTGCGGTGTTCCGCCTGATTGGGACACTGGCCGCTCCATCTCCAAACTCTACTCCTGTTTCAGACCCTCACCTTTTAAAAGGGCAAAGAGGAAGTGGGACCCTTGCGTTGCCCCAGCCAGTTGATAGCCCAGCGTCACGTTTCGCTCAGCAAACTGCAACCTAGTTTAGGCTCAGCCATTTCTCTGAGACTGCCCTGCCGGAAGTCACCAGAGATTTTCTTACGGCTAAATCTAGGCATCACTTCTCAGTCTTTATCTTATTGACTCCTCCACAAACATTTGACTTGTTGACTTTTGCTTCATTGTTTTCCGTAATACGTGTTTCTACTGGTTTTCCTTCCTCTCGGTTCTCTTTTCTGCCCCTGTTTTAGTTGCCTCTTTCACTGTTATCTCTAATTCTGGTGTTATAATGGTTTTGTCTTCCCATTGCCTGTGTTCAGGCCTCTATTGACATCCTGAATTACATCAGTAGCCTCCTTACTGATCTCTCAGTAGCCTGCCAGCCCCACTGTAGTCCATTCTTCACACTGTAACCCAGAAGGTCCGCATCAAGTTGTTTTAATGGAATCACGCTCATGATAAAGCACAACTGCCCAAGAATGTCTTTTGCTCTTCCCTCAGGCTTCATTTTTCATCAACATTCCCTTGTCCTTGTTCCTTATGTCAGTTCCTTTGCCTCTTTCAGTTCCTAGACTCGATAGTGGCCTTGTGACTTAGTTTACACTGCATTGTTTCCAAAGATTTCTCTTGGCATTTTCCCTGCTATGCCCAGGATTCCTTTTAGAAGTTACTTTCCGAAGGAAGTCTTCTTTTCTCTCCATTCACCCAACCTCCACTTCCAAGTTGTCTCTCTAATGTAGATTTTCCAGATAAAAGACAGGATACTCAGCTAAATTTGAAGTTCAGATAAATAATAAATACTTTTTAATGCAAGTATGTCCCATGCAATATTTGGCATCCTGTTTTTTTATTTGCTAAATCTGGCAAGATTTATTCAGGATGTATTTGGGATGGGGTGATTTAAAATATAGGCTATTTTGCATAAATAAAACTCATTCTTCAGGGGACTCAAGGAAATAGGTGATCATCTTACAAAACTGCTAAAATTGTTATTGAACAAGACGTCTCTTTGACTGCCAAACAGGAACGATAAACCAAAAACGTATGTATACCAAAAGTGATTTTTACAAATGACCTCCAAATCGGAAGTCACCAGGCACACATTCCAAATTGCAAGACTAGATTTACAGTTGATGTTGTTTCTTCCATGGGCAACTTCATTTATAGGTGTACTGGAATGAGGATGATTTTTCGAAAAAGTATTGTTAATGATTCTCTAATAACCACTGGATCATACTATTTCATAGGCTGTATAAGTTGAAGAACAAAGGAAAGGGGGAGTTGGTCAGGTAGGTCTAAGGGCTAACGTTGCTTCCTGGGGTCTGGTCTGTTTTAAGATACTGTTCTCTCTGGACTCAGACTGGAATTCCAACTTGGATTCGGACACCACCTTAGCCTGGGGCTTTATGCCTCACCAGTAAAAACTGAAAGGGAGTTGCACATTGGATTCTGGTGTACGGGTGCCTGAGGGTTAAGAAAGTGTTCTTTTCAGGTTAGGATTCTGTTGATTAAATGGATTAACAAGGTATGGGTAGCCTTGAGAAAGTGAACAAGACAGAGTTCTTCAGTTAATCAGTGAGGAGAGAAACAAAGCAAAAACAGTTGACTATCAGGATGGATCAAACTGCAAACTAGCTAAGTTTAACTGGAGGAGGCTAGAAAGCAAGCTATGTGGTGAGTCAAACTGCAAACTAGCTAAGTCTAATTAGGTTATTGATTTACTAAATTTCACCCTTACATTCCCCCCCTGTCATATGTTCATTTTATTTCTATAAATCAATAAGGTTAGATTAGAGAGGAAACAAAACAACTACATTACTCCTTTTATAAGTTGATTAATTATTTAATCCAGGGATTCAGGCAGCGAGTGCTCTTGCTATTAAACTTCCTGATGAGAGTGGCATAGTCCCTGCTTATGGGCACCAGAGCTCTTTGCTATTCAGTTACGAGGGACAGGGCTATGGAGGAATTTCAAGAGAAAAAAACAGACCACTTGGTCAAGTGACTGTTGTCATGGTTTGTCATCCTCAGGAGGGACGAGTTGGAACCCTGGCGGATGACCATCTGTAGATGAAAACTGCTGTGCTCCAGATGACACAAACTTGTCTGTTTGAAGAGGAGCTTAAGGTCTTCAATTGGCTGGTAGGAACAGGGGTGATTGTCTTCCTTTCTGGGGGAGTCCTCTGGAGACTTAAATGCAACAGGTTTGATTCGAGGGAAGTGGACCCAGCCACTGACTCTCTGAAGCCCAACTGTTGGGTGCTCGGAAAAACTGCAAAGGGCCCCTTCCATTGAGGAGCTAACTGGTCTGTTAGAGACCCTTCCCCTTAGGTTTCTAATATTACTTGGTCCCCTGGCTTTCCGGGGCTACAATGTATAGAAGGGTCAGCTTGGGGGTCCCCTATATTTCCTGAGTGCCTGCTGAACGTCTCCCAAGTTAACAATATAGGAAATAACAGAATTGAGGTCGGAATCCAAAGCAATGGGCAGCAGTCAGAGCCAGGACTCAGAGATCTCCTGACAAAACTTTTCCAGCGTCCTTTTTAAGTCTGATTTGTTTGTTTTACATTTCTAAGGTATAGACCATTGGTAAGGAACAGGCTGAGTAAAATGAGCCCAAATCTAGGGGCTCTCTTTATCTTTACAACCGAGCAGGCGTCAGAGGAAATAGGTCTAGAGCGAGCAGTCAAGACAGAGTAAATGGCTCCTATATTAATCAGGAAATTAACAGGCTTACATGCCATGTCAAGGGTCACCTGCAGTTCCTCCCCTGTGATGAGCATGGCCTTTTTCATCTTGGGAGCCATTGGGCACTTTAGGCCCATCAATCAGTTACAGTCATTTGTGGGGAAGGGGTTGGTCTCTGCTCCCTCAGAACAGGGGACAATCCTCCTCCAGTGCCCTTTAGTTTGCACAGTGGGCACAGCTGCTTTGCAGGATTAGGACACTCTTTACTCCAGGGGTCTGGGCTTCCACATCCAAAGCAGGCTTGTTTACCTGGTGTACCTCCTTTGGGGCTGCCAGGGGTGGCCCTGAGATGGCCCTGGACTTGGCCTTTCTATAAACTGCAGCCAAAAATCTGGCCTGTCTCAGGCCTTGTCTCCAATCTCACTATTCCTTTCTTTCCTCGTTTTCCCTGTCTTGGTTGTTAAAGACATTTAAGCAAATTTCCTGGCCTTTTTCCAGGATCTGAGACTCTTTATCAGGGATGTAACAGTGGGTCAGAACCATTGTAATACTCTGCCAGGATAGTGAAAATATTAGGCTAAGCTGCCTTACACTGGCCTATACTCTGTTGCCAAGGAATGCACATGAACTCTAGCAGTCCTATAATACAGAAGTTTATGTAACTATTTGCAAAACTTAGTTCTTATAGTTTTTTTAAGTAACCAAGGACCTGATTAAGACAATATAAAACATAGAAATTATTCTACACATATAATCTTTGCTTTTCAGGTAGAAAACATTTCATAATATCAGTAGCAGACTAATAGTCTAACAAACTTTATCTTATTTAGCAGAGAGAGAAAACTCAACTCTAATTTTGCACCAGCTTACTTTTGATATTTAAATTTACTTAATTAATTGCATTTAACTTAACCATACATAAAAGTTTTTCAAGATTTTTTTTTTCCCTCCTAGTTTGTCTCTTCTCACTCATTCAGAAATCACCATCCTTAGGACAAACTACTTTCTTTCTATTCCTTTAAAAATGTATTTCCATACCTTATACTTTCCTTGAAAACACACATCATTTCCTTCATATTAATTAGAATTTTTAACCTTCACAACCTTAATTTTTACTGGCAACTAAAAGCAAGCAATTAGCATTTCCATTGGAAAATCCATAAACACATTTAGCAACCTTTAGAAGTATACGTTTTTGTTGGCAATATATCTACTAATTTTTTAGAATTATATTTTCAATAAAGTACAAAACACATGTATTGACAGATCTTAATTTAACTTTCAGCTTTCCTGTGACACCTCCTTCTAGGGGGCTTGAAAGGGGTTTTTACTTTAATAGAATTTGGAAATGGTGTCAGAAACCAAGATTTCATTACTATAGCAACAGAGAATGGGAAGACTAAATGTCAAATGCATTCACTGTTGCCACGGTGACAATCAGTTACTTTACCAAATATGTTTACTGTTGCATTCTGGTCAGTTTTTAAAATATGCCCATATATATGAATGCTCAAAAGGGAGAGAAAAAGTTCAAAATCATTTAAGAAAGAAAGAGGCCCTTCAAGAGATAAAAGCAATTTGTTTCATTGTCTATTATTTAATAAGAAAACCACAGAGTCCACAAAAAGGATATAAGGGAAATAGAAACTCTCATTTCTCTTTTTAAAAGTATTCTTCCTATTTGCAGTCAGGGAAATTGAAGCATGGAGTTGAACGCACATCTGCACTGTCATTTCATGCTATTTCAAA